TTTTTTTTGCAATATATCTTAACAAAGTTTAAATTTCAGTGGTTTCCAGACGATGATTGGCTAGAAAGGATCGAAACGGCATAACGCATTTGGGTTAGCTTAAATTTATATGGGAACTTTATTATAAAAGCAGAAAAAATAACATTAGCATATTAGTAATAGGAATAATTATTTCACCAGGGCTTTGGGTCCAACTATTCTTCTCATTGCGTATTATCCATTTGAGAAAAACATAGTCTGCCCACATTTCGGGCTTTATATTTAGCATGTGTTTACACGTATGCGGTGTGACGAGGTATAAGTCGAATTTTACATACATAATCGTTTTTACTCTTTCATGTGTATTTCGAGGTTTTATTGCATCCGTGATCGCTTTACTTTTGCATGTGTGATATTGATGCCATATGGTAAAAATTTTTCTGGTAAAAAATAAAACGCTATCGCAGATGAGAATATTTTATATATTTATCATGTATTTTATTTTTGTTTTCTTTTATATCAATAAAGCTGATCTTAGTGGCTCAATTTCGCATACATAATCGCGTTTACTTTTGCGTGTGTATATTGAGTGAATTTATTTTATTGTATTGATATCGATGTATAACTCGTATATAATTGTGAATTTTTCTTGGCGAAATTTCAGCGAACTTGGTTCGCCCAAAATCACTTGTTTATTTTTCAAACTTTTGAACATATTCGCATCTTGTATAAAATAATGGGAAATCCACAATCCACAATTAAGACATTGAGAGAATTAAATTCTGATCTTGTTCACCAAATCGCTGAACTTAGAAAGAAGTTTGCTGAGGTCGAGGCTGAGAATATCGAGATTAAAGCTGAGAATGCAAAAGTCAAGGCTGAGAATATTGAGATTAAAGTCGAAAATATGAAGTTAAAACAAACTTTGGAAGAACATGAAACCAGATTTACGAAACTGGAATGCGATATTTCACTAATCAAGGAACAGAACTCGCAAGGCACAGATACTATTAATTCGCAGAATCCAATAAATTTACAAGTACCCATTCTCCCTGAAATAAACTCTGATAATACTCCCATAAAGAATATTTCGTCATATACCGATGTGAACCGGCTAAAGGCTAAGGGCCAACCCGATAAGGAGGAAGCTATTAATCCCGATCCTATACTCGAAATAGAACATATCTCAACCCAATCCGAATCACAAATAACTTTTCTATCTATTGAATCCCACTCCGATAAAGAAACTTCAATACACTGTGAAACAAATGATTCTATAACTAGCATTACTCCTGTAACTCCAGAACAGATAGTCTCACAAAGTGAGGATGTTCCTGCATCTGTCACACCCGACATAACAAATTCTGATATATACCAACCTATTTGCACGGAGCCTAAATCATTAGAGGATATAGAGATCGATAAATTCCTAGATTCAGAGAATAAGAAAAGGGTTAGTAATGAGATTAGGCAGAGGAATAGGGAAGAAAAACTTCAGTGTGATTCACCTAGCCAGGAGGCACACTCGATTTCTCAGAATTCTGCGTCCACTACTTCCCGTGAGCGGAAAAACGAACAGGGCTTGATTCGAGAAATGATTTTATCTAAAGAAGAAAAGCATGTGACTGAAATTTCAGCGAACTTGGTTCGCCCAAATAATGAGACTTCAATAACTCCATCTATTCCAGCCATATCCCAGTTACCGCCAGATAATGGAGATATTATTAGTCTATATAAAAATGCATGTGATGCGGAAATTGGTGCAATTGAAGCCAATAGAGAAGAAACATTGCGTTGGTGTTTCTATGCTAGAGAATTCAAAAGCATGTATAAAGATTTTATGGTCGGTAATAAAGTTGGGGAAAAGAAGGCAAAAGGTCAAGTATATGATTTCATTATCAAACAGCTACCTGACACTAAACGCAAAACTTTATGTAAGCAGACACAGAAAGCTTTAAGGATTGACAATTTATTCGAAAAAATAGGAATGGATAAGATTCAATACATCAAAACATATAGTGCGGATACTATTTCAAAATTCACTAATTCCCAGATTCAAATGATAATAGATCATTTCACCAAAAAGCCTGATATAGAATATACCGATGATCAGGATAGTTCTTCAGATGATTTACCCGAAGCTGAGTTAAGTGAGGAAGCCAAGAAAACTTTACCGGGAACTGAGATAAATGTATTGCCTGAGAAAGTATTACCAGAAATCGAGATATTAGACACAAAAGCCAATGATAGTAAACCACAATCTTTAATTACTGCTTTATCCGATGATGAGCCAGAAAATTTCTCCGATGACGATGATTCCTTCAATAACAACGAAGATGATGGGGAGTTCTGTGGTTTTTCTGATGATGATGATGAAGGTTATTATTATGATTTAAATACCGGTGAAACTTATACAAAATCAGAACATCGTTATTCAATTCGCGCATATTAATAATGATGTAATAAATAAAAATTCATTTCGCGGAAAAATAATTAATACTTTGCTAGTTATATATTACAGTTTTGGTCAGATACACATAAAAATAAAAAATGGCGAGCCCAGAGGACCCCTTCTTTATTTAATATTTTTTTTGCCGGAACGACAACAGACGAATAAAAAAAACATATAATAAAAAAAACAAATAAAAAAATATATATCGCTGTTACATAAAGCGAATAAAAAAAAATATTTTTACTGCTTTGGATTTATAATGAATACTGCGTTATCAAGATCTTCAGGTTTTTTAAAAATTTCAGATAATTTCTCTTCCGATTTAATATCTCGTATGTAAGCAATTCTTTTGACCGGAATTTTAAAACGTGCTTCAATCTTTGCTTTAAAATCTTCGAATGTATAACCCCACTTAATTACATCAGGATATTTACGGGATGGAAATTCAAGCACGATATCAAATTCATCGGGAAGTGTGGCCATTTTTTCTGAATATAAAATTTTAATGAGTTTCGCTTTCATAGTTTTTGCTATAAATGTCACAATCTCATATAAATCATTACCTTAGACCCGAAGGTATGTGTGCAACAGAACTTGCTCAACATTATAAACTCTTATGGGGAATTCGAGAGGAAATGTGCCAAATTAACAATGTATAGACCATGTCCGCAAAGCAA